TAGCTAAATCTTTTATAGTTTAGATATTAGCTAAATCTAGTTCTCTATTTACAGTGAGGAGTCAGCTGGGCTGCTGCCATCAACAAACTTTAGTTATAGATGATAGGGTTGGTCTTGTTTTTCAGTGTTTAGTCCCGTTACTCTCCTATGAGCTCAGCTTTTAATGCAACTAACTGTACGTCCTCATCTGCTCCACATTTTTCTTTCTTACACAGAGCCACCTGTGGAGCCAGTTTACTTTTTCTAACATAGAAAAAATATATTTTCTTGTTCTTTCCTCTTTGAAAACAACAAATCTCTGATCTTGCTGTGTGTGTAACAAGCCCTATGGCTAGCAGCCTGATCTGATAGACCAGGGGTCTGCAACCTGTGGCTCCGGAGCCACATATGGCTCTTTGGACCCTCTCCAGCAGCTCTTAATAGCTAAAATGTATATAAAGAGCTAAATAATTTACTATAATACATACCGGCATCAATAGCTTTAGCGTTTTTTATAAGATGGAAAATAATGAGATTAAAAGAACCAGAAATATGTTTTAGGAGACATTTTTCTATGAATTAGCTTGAAAATGATCCCTTTTAACATAAAAAAATAGATGAATTGATTGTTTGAGATGGCAACAACTAATTTCCTATACAAGATAAAAAAAAAAAAAGGTTTTCTAGATAAAGTCATGGTATATTTTGCAGCTCTAAACAACTTTATATTTGGTCGTACTCTGGGCAAAACGGCTCTTTGGATATGAAAGGTTGCAGACTCCTGTGATAGACCAAGACATTTGAGGGAAAAAGTGGATGAAACCATCAGTTTTGATCCTAAAGGTTTTACATGTTTTCCAGGAAGCTGAAGATTACACTGAGCCATTAAAGTTTCCGTAAATGGTAGATCTCTGGAAGAAGAGAGAGAAAAAGTCGGAACTAATCCTAATCGGAGATAAAATATTCTGAGACCCCTGACAGGGGCAGTGGATTAGAGATGTTCTCATGTTCAGAGGTTTGGAGAAACCAGCCTGCAGCCTTAACGGCCTTTATGGTCATATTCTAATCCAGAACCATTATCCGATTGCTTTTACCAGCAACAGTTTTCATTGGCTCACCTTGAAGCATGCAGTCGTACGCCTTCCTGTCTTTCCTGCCGAGGGCTTCCCAGAACCCAATGGGCTCCGCTCCTTCGTCACACTCCCGTACGGTCACCCTGCTGCTGCTGTGCAGCCCCGTTTCCAGAGGACAGCTGGGCGAGAAAAACACCAGCTGCACTACTGGACCTGTTCAAAACGGCTCGTTGGGAAATGTTTGAAGGAAAGCAGAAAAATCCACTCACTTCTCTTTGAGCCTGTTGGCGGCGACACACGCCACCTTCCGCGTGTGCGTCTGGGATTTGCAGCCGTGCCACAGGTAGATGAGGGCCTGGCTGACTCCCAGCAGCACCATGGAAACTCTGGAGCGCAGACTGCTGCAATGACAGGCCACCTCCAGCAGGTGGCCCTCCACCTCCATCTCCCCTCGCACGCAGTAAAGACGCCAGTCATCTGTGAGGGAGAAAGGAGACAGGATGCAGTCACAAAAATTAACAAATAAATCACCTTAAAAATAAATATAAAAAAAGTTGGATCAATGTGTTAGAACCAGCCTTACTTTGTGAGCATTCCTCCTCCTCTTCTCTCTTCCCTGAGTGGACAATCATTCCCCCTGTGAAACATTGCAGGAAACATGGTGGCTCTTTCCCCTGCAGGACCTGAACCTGAAACAGGAAGTTGAACGTTAGCAGGAAGCAGCGGCGCACATGGTAACTAGGCCTTCAGCGGGCATCCCTCAACTTAACCTACTAATATCACTAATAACATCACCAATAGTATTCAAAAAGGAAATGTAATAAGCTCTGGTATAACCAATAAGAAGATTGTAGTGTGAGAGAAGGAGCCCAATTAAAACAACCATAATCCTCTATAACCACAGTTCTGCCATATTTACATCAGGACCTGTTCAGATTAAAGGAATAGTACACCCAAAACATGATTAGCCTTCATTTTCTACTCACCCCCATGCTGAACAACACTCTAGAGTACTTTTTTGATATC